AAATTTGATAAAACTAAACCATATTTCGCTCGTAAATCCTCTCTCCATTATTGAAATATATAAATAAATATATATATACACATTTGAAATATAATATTTAAATTAGAACTCACATAGGAGCCTTTCATTCAATAACAATATAGCACTTTTCATTCATTCAAGTCAGCAATTGGTATGATTTAAATTTTATATTTAATTATTGATAACTTGTTTTACATTGTTCCAAGATGCGAATAATAATACTTATAATAAAAATAAAGATTGTATGATATTTAAGAAGTTACTGGAAATTAAAGTTTTCGATTTAAATATCTTCTTTGACATGATTTAAAGAACTTTCTTTTATAAATAAATTGCAATTGAAAAATAGTTTCTCCATCAACAATTTATTTGTTCTATTCCTATACCTTTATTTATTATATACATGACGGTCGTCTTTGTTAAGAAATCATGAAGCATAAAGGAAGAAAATTCTTTGATAAAACTTATTATAATATGCAACTCAAAGTTGGTGACAGTTCAATGTAAACGAAAATAAGCTTATAGTAATAGTGAACTCAACGATGTCAACATTGCTTTCATAACACGAACTAACATCGACTCAAATATGATTAACATAGAAATTCATATTACAATACAAATTTTTGCTTGTGATTTTCACTAACCAACATTATTTTTTTTTATGTCAAAGGTGGCAAACGAGCAGACGGCCCACTTGATGGAAGGTAGTACCGCCGCCCATGTACATCCGCAACATGTTTGTTGCGAATGCGTTGCCAACCTTGTTTTTTAGGAATAGGAAGGGGTGGGAATAAGGAAATGGTAGGAAAGGGTGGGAAATAGGAAAAGGGCAACCGGCTCTCTCACTCATCGGACGAAACGCAGCCATTAAAGACTACTTCACGCCGATCTTCTGTGAGAGGGTGGTACTTCCCCGGTCGAGCCAGCCCATGTTCGAGCTGTAGTAACTTACCACAGCTAGGCTCTACCACCTAACATATTTCGTATCTTATCCTTATGCATATAAGGATAAAAATATTTTATCAATTATTTATGTGTTGATACTTTCCTTATTTTGTATAATAAAAGGAAAATTAAGTTGAACTTCGTTTTAACAGAGCTGAATGATGATAGCCAATTTAAAAAAGAGTTCTTGAAATAAATCTACAATTTAATTTAAAACTCACGAACTGTAAACCGCGTCTTTTGTTCTTTTTAATTTTATTACAGCTGAAACTTTTTAATTTTCTAATAGAAAAATTGCAAGACTACAAAACTTTTCATGAAAAGTAATTTATTTATAACTTATTTTATTCATTGACAAGTTGTTTTCTTTTAAACCTGATTTTATTAATTTGAACTCAACTTATACATTACCTCGTCATTGGTCTTTAACACAAAATTTTAAACATATAAGGAGCCTTAAAACATGTTCGGATGTTCTCATAGTTTCAAAGAAGGTTTATTACTTAATAACTATGAAGATATTCTTTCTATGTAGTATGGCAATGGAAAATAGTAAGTTTGGGTGTCAGCATTGAATGCATTGTTATTACTAACAAAATACTCACAATGAATGTAACTCATGAATAAAATGAAATAATTATAAAACAAGATTACTTCTAATTTATTCTCCAATCTTTATTAGATATATGTTATGAGTATATACACTTTATAAACTGTTAAGTTTATGACTAGGTATAATTCATAATGTAACCTTTTTTTTAACTTAATCAAAAGACTACCAAAAAGACGTGAGTTATTCTTAACAATTGAGATTACATCATAAATATTTTTTGTATTTTAGTAATAACTAAATGGTTTTATACTTGTTTAAAATAAACTCATGTGTTATAAAACTTTAACAATAAAAAATAATTAACTTTATACATGACATTTGTACATTCCAATAAAATTTGTTTTTATTTAAATATACTTCGATCGTTTGTTCAATAACATATATAGATTTCAATATAAAAATGTTTTTGTATAATTGTATAAACATAATTTTTTTTGTCCTAGTTCAACTATTGTATCAAAATATCTATAAACTTTTATCTCTCCGTATCAAATACATAAGTTACATCAGTTATTACATGACACTTATTTAACATATAGAATAAAGTTAAGATTATATTAAATCTGTATAATATGTTCTTTAAAAATCTCTTTTTATATTCATTCTGTGTCCTTTTCCTATTATACTAATCCTTTTATTCTGAACACGTGTTTTAAATGGAAATAAAGGGATTTCCGTAACAGAATCGAGTGAAGAAATAAATTATTGTCAGCTTTGTGCATTAACGTTCATGTAAACAGAATGTATGGTAATTTGTTACTAATTTATATACATGAAATACTTGACTAAAATTATATCAGCTATCATCTAAAAGGTCAGTAAAGAAAATAAATCACACAAAAAACAAAAGCAAGTTACAATTTCTGACCATAACGGTTTACGTACGAAAAAGTCACGAACAATCAGTTACTGTTATGAAACGTGACGAAAAGATCCAAAGCATTAATATGAAACCTGAAAAACTTTATTCTTTATATAATCGGATATAATTCTAAGAAAATCGCTACTCAACGATAAGTAAAGGTTCCTTATAATATAAATTTAAAAATTAAAGCTTTATAAAAAAATATAATTTTCACAAAAATATCTAGTAATATTATTTATATTTATGTTCAGAAGAATCAGAATGTGAGACTACAATTTTATTTTACCGACACTCTAGACAGTTTTCTATATAACGTGTTCAACCGTACGTGACTATAAATGTTTCACACTTCTAAATGTATGAAATAGAATCAATTTGGCGTAAGTTTTTTATATAAATAAATAAAATGACAAGAAAATAAGATACAAAACTAAAAACTAATAAATGTCCATAATTATTAACATTAACAGTCCGTTTTAGCCAAATATTTTTTATTACATCACTCGAAGATTTTGGTTCTGATTTTTACAGTTTGTCTTCATTAAATTAGTTTATAAGATAAATTCTTAATTTTGGGAAACCTTAATCTTTATAATAATATGTATAGTTTCTATTAGTTATTTTTTTCAAATTTAATAATTCGAACCTAATAAGTCAATTCTTCTTGTAAGTAGTAATTGTTATATTTGACAATGTCTGAACATTTATATGAACGTTTTCAGAATATTATATATTATTATTACTCACAAGCTCTAAAGGGGTTTTGTACTTATTTTCTCCTATGTTTTGGACTTCAGAATAGCAATGATTAAATAAACAACAATGTAAGCAGCTACTCTGAATTTCCGGAGTTGTCATACTTCAAACTATGTATGTTATAAATAAATAGTAACTTAGTAGTTACATAGTAGTAACCTGCAGTACATCGTTTCATCAGTCACTGCCGGAATTATTCAAACGCCGATTCACTTATTTCTGTTATTGTCTTAAGTTTTTTTCTTTTCTTCTTAACTCCTTAGTTGTATGAAGCCTGCTATATCTTACCATCTTATGGAAATTGTTTTTATAACTTATTAATAATATAAAATATAACAAAACTAAGATATAAAAAATTCTATCTAATACATAAAGAGATAAATAAGATCACTCATTGTTTGAGTCTTTTGCAATTATTTTAAATATAAACTATATTTAAAATATTTGCAAAAGACTATATTTTGTCAATAAATTGCAAAGTTGGTAAAATGTTAGATAAATAAACCTTGCTTTCAAATAAATTTTGAGGCAATCAAAATTAAAAGGCATGTGAAGCAATCACGAAGAATTATAATCAAAAACAATAATAATATTTTGAAGGATTCTGACTTCTGTTGGGAATTAGAGATTTTGAGAGATTTTATCTAAAGCTTTGCTTTTAATATGAGAAATTTGTTGTTTGATAAGATTAAAATATGAAAAATTAAATAATAATTCGTTTAAACTTTTACTTGTATCTTAAGATGTTAGTATTTTTTAAACAGCCAATATTTTTAGAATTAAATACTACAATTTTTTAAAAATCTAAAACGATAGTTTTGTCTTTGTGTGATGGCTCCGAAAGATTTTCATCTAATTCTCGAGAATCCTAACAGTCATAATTTCTTCTTAAATCGTGTTCAACTAAACATTATAGAGATAATAATTTTTCTTTTTATGATCTTAATATTGACAATACATATACTGTTTTATTGAAAGACAGAGAAATGTTATAAAAACTTGAAACATGCGAATCGCTTAGAGAATGTTCGAAGAACAGTTTCAGTCTTGATTCTTAATGTTCATCGTTACTTCCAGTATTGTCCTACAAAATGGCTGAAGCCAGTATTAATAGTTTTCAAATACAAGTTAGTACTAATTGTTGATATTACAATTTGCAATAGTTCAGTATTATAATTAATAATAAAAATAATAATTAGTCATAAAAATAATTGCAAGGATTATAGTATATTTTAATTAGTTCATCACGCAGGGCGCCACTTGTAGCAAGAAGTTTATAATCACAACATTTCGAGGTATATACTCGTATTTAGCGACGTGTATTGTAAAATATAAATAGATAAAGTAAAAACAGTAATCAAAATATAAAAAAAAAAAATTAAATTTTACTTTCCTATTGTAATGTTTATCAAACATTTTGGAGGAAGCTTAAATTCTTTTGACGTTGATGAAATTACTTGTTCATTTTTATTGCATTACTTTAGGATTAAACCGCATTTTTATCCATCTGATATTTAATTTAAAAATTGAGCTTGGAGGCATCTGGAGTCATTTTATGTTAAAAGGAGAAAGTCAAAAGAAAGAAAAAAATGCCAGTATTAAATAAGTAACCCCTAAATAACAATTGTTATAGTTCATAGATTTAAAATATTTAATTGAATTTCACTTGTAGAGACGAAAGACGAAACCTCTTAGCATTCAATGGATTCACCGTGCGGGTGCCGGGTCCATTGCGTTGCAGGGAGAGGAGCTTCAACAGTGCCTGGGACTTGCGACCCAGGTGTAGGTTTAAGGGGCCCCTTAACTAACGCGCGTTATACGCTCACCTCCACTGTCCAAGTTCCTCTCCCTACCTAACCAAATTTGAAAAGAACCTACTAGGGCTGCCTTCGACGTACGTTCTAAGAATGAATTAATGTTAGTTCTGGACAGGCCCAAGTCTTTTAGTAGGTTATAGAGAGATTTAGCTGTTATACCTCTCGCTCCCACCTCTACCGCGTACAAATCAACGACGAACCTATTTCGAGTTAGTTCGTTAGTGAGCTCGTAATACTTATTGACCTTGATGGCATGGTCTTTGGGGATGTTGGTTTCCCAAGGCACCGTAAGCTCTATCATCACAACGCGCTTTAAAATACGCGAATATAGAAATATGTCTGGTCTGGAGGCCGACGCACAAATATCCTCGGGGATTTTGTATTGTTTCTCATACGTATCCATCATGATAGTCCAATCCGAAGCCGCTTTAAGGATAGAGTAAGGCTTGACGTTTGATTTTATAGCCCTGGTGCCCTCTCTCACAAAACCTATTGATCGCTCGTTTGTGGTTATTTCCCTTTGCGCTCTGGCTACCGAAAGACTAACCGCTTCACGTATGATCTCTAAAACCCTATCGTGACGACGCGAGTATTGACCGCTGTCCAGGAGAACCTTACATCCCACTAGCAAATGCTTGGCAGTTCCAACTGCCTTTCCGCAGATATAGCAAGTTTTTTCGGTACCTTTACCCCATCTTACTAAATTACTCTGATCTGGGAGAGTCATCTGGAACGCATTGAGATAAAATTTTAGCAAGGCTGGCGACCAGTCATGAATTAGGGTGCGCCATTTTAGTGCTAGTGGAATACAAAAATCTCCCATGTCTAACCACTCGTTCTGCATTTCTAAACTCATTGCATGGATCTTGTATTTATCGTTCTCGTCTTGCCGAATAAAAGACTTCAATATATCCGTATCTTGGACTTTCCTACTTGATCCTAACCCTACTCTGTTATTTTGCGCTCCGATCATAAATTGTTTATGGAATTGAAGTCGTGACTCTAGCTCTGGGGCATCATTGTCTTTTGGGAGTGATGTAACGACGTCATCATGGGATTTTCCCAGGATATGTCTCTTGGAAACTCTTAGGTGTTTGTAGAGCTCCGATGGTCTTTTTAGATTCATCCCAAAACTATTACGATCCCTGAATAAAGCCGATGAATCAGCCGTTAGCGCGAGCCCGAGCCACAACTTCAACATCTTTATGACGCCTGCATCTAATTTAGATAAAAGGGTTTTACTAAAATCATAGACGAGGAAAGGCCAATTCAAACGTGAAGTTAAGTAATTATCGTAGATCCATGCTTTTTTTACGTTACTGATCTGCTGGCTATCTACCTTGTTAAGATCATTTAAAAAGCTATCTACTATTCCTTCTAAAGATGGAGTACGACCTATATTATCAATCTTACGACCGAGAAACTTGAATGGTGCATCTTCCGTAACCGTAGAAACGCATTGACCGCCTATCGATAGTCCCGGATCGTATGAGGTGTATCTTGTATTCCGCCTACCAAGACACAAACAGTGACATTTACTTGGTTTTGTCCTCAATCCATCCGTCCACTCACAGAATTTATCCACTTCATCCAATAGTACTTGACAGTGTTTGGGGTGACGTGTCAGTATTGCGAGATCGTCAGCGAAGGCTAAAATGGATTCCGTGTATTTATTATTAAACTTAAACCGATAACCCCATTTTTTCTCGTTACAGATTAATTTGTCTACTAAGATGTTAATAACGATATTAAACGTAATTGGAGATAGACAACAACCTTGAAACAGTCCTACATTATAACTCAAACTTTTTGAAGGGCCTTCTTTAGTTATTATAGAAAACCTTAATTTTGAGTAATACGACGCGATCATATCTCTAACTAGGGGTGGAAAGTTGTACCATCTAAGCGCGAATAGCATCAACTCTAATAACTAATATTTCTGTACTGGAAACGAAGAGCATTCAGTAATGAACTATTGCTATGGAAGTCTCATCTTCAGCCGAATTTCCGTGAACACTCAATTTGATGAGCTTGTACATTATTTCGATCGAAGAAAATCACTCTCATTACACTTATGTCTTTCATGGTATTTTTTATTGTATTTTTATATTTATTTTAGGTATTTTGTCTTTTTTATCACGTGTAATTTAATTATGGCTAGTATATATTCAGTAAAACTTAAAAATACATATTTTTATAATCATTTCCCTCAAACTTGGTAGCCATATCACACCATTTGTAACTGCCATGTTGGTATTACAGCAATAACTTTGCATTTTTCATATATTACAAAAATCTTCTTGATTTACATGGTGAGCTGATAGTATCTTGAATCCAGAAAAGAAACACGTTCTATGATTTATTATCTAAACACAAGTCTTCGGGTTTTTTGAGATTGTTTTGTTGGCATATGTCATATTATTTGGAGGTGATATTGCTTATTGGAGTCCTTTAACAAAAACTTTAATGTTTCATCCTCCTACAATCATAGAAATATATAAGCAAAACTTTCACCTTACCTCAACCATAAATCTAAGATTCATCACCAGTTATGACCTTCTGATAAAAAATGTGGTTCGTTGCGGACAGACTATTCATGTTGTCAAAAAGCTCATTAGCAATGATAAAGCGATACTATATATAATGTATATATGTATATGTGTACGTATACAATGTGCAATTTTGTAACAACCTCTGCCTAATATAAAACATCGGTAAAAATCATATGACAGGGACCAGGCAATGTTTAAGTACTCGGCAAATTTTCTAATGACGATCCTACTACGAACCTACTTCGAGTGAGTTCGTTTGTGAGCTCGTAATATTTGTTGACCTTGATGGTATGGTCTTTGGAGATGTTGGTTTCCCAAGGGACCGTAAGCTCTATCATCACTACGCGCTTTAAAATTCGCGAAAACAAAAATATATCCGGTCTGGAGGGCGACGCACAAATATCCTCGGGGATTTTATATTGTTTTTCATACGTGTCCATCATTATAGTCCAATTGTATTATAGTTTCTTCTGTGTAAAACATCCCTTATACGAGTATATAAACTTCATACTCCTCAAACATATTAAGTCCTATGTATATATGTAAATATATACATAGGACTTCAGTGTAAACTGGAACTAATATACTTGTAATAATATTCACAAGACAGACATGTTTTTTTCATTTGAATACATAATAATAATAATAATAATAATAATAATAATAATAAAACAATAATATGTGAATATTACTTGAACACTTTTTAGCTACTCCGAATATTGTATGATTTGTTTTTTAATAGGTACAATATATAGTTAAAATATATAAGAATTTTATGTTCATTTTCATAAAATTTATTGATATTTTTATTTTATTTGGACCCGAGATATATGTACATATTTTCCAATTATACATTAATGTTTGTAATATAAATATTCATAATTCTAAATTATAAAGGATTTTAATGTTCTGGGAGATATTTGTGGCTTTTATATTACAATGTTGAGCAGGTAATAGTCTAATATTTATATCAAATACAAGTTCTCTTTCATCTACCAGCTTAAATTTCATGTGGCAGTGAATTTAAAATTATGTTAAAAGACTTATTATTGTCTTGAGTATCTTGTCGTCTGTCATACATACCTTAGTTTGGTTAGTTTATCTAAATAAAAACTGATTCAACATTTTTAATTAAACGATATTTCGGCGGGATTGGTTACATTACAATAATTAAACTCGTAATTATAGTTAATAGTATTTATATAACCAATGTAACAAGTAACTTTATGATATAAAAAATTGACTCGTACTCAACCATCAATTCCCTGTCCCATCTATGAATTAAGAGAAATTTCTTGAAATAAAGTTTTAAAGAAACATCTGAAGAAAATTCAACCATTTGACAGTGTCGTGACAAGTCCGAGTTAAATATTTACAAGAAAGTTTGTTGGACGTTATTTTCCTATTATTATTGCCAAATACGACATCGAAAAAGTTGAAGTTTAGAAAATATTATATAAATAATGTATAACAAATAAAGAATTATATTATAATTTTGATTCAACTATAGTTATTAGTTCATATTTATAAGTTCATATTTTTTTCCTTAGTCATATTTAATTTGCAAGCTGTGGTCTCCTGTAATTGAAACAGCACAAATTTCTGTAATATTTAGTATTGATTAGTCTAAAATTTTATACTGTGTATCTTTTGTTGGGGATCCTCAAATAAATATATAATTAGAACATCAAAATATTATATTATATAACAATAATGTATAACTTATTAATCAGAAGTTAATGGTAGATATAGAGATAAATGTGTTTATCAAAGATTTTAAAAATCGTGGAAAATACTCATTATTATAAGTATAATGTTATTTATATTATTATAATTATAGAGTTTTCGGTCTTCAAACAATTAATTATTATATGTGTATATTGTTACTAAACTCACACTAAAAGTAGTGTTATTGAGAGTCTGAAAGACATTACAGAATCGGTTATAAATAGAAGTTAATTTTGCTTACAATTATTCAAGATATAGTCTAATTTTAACATGATATCCTTTTTTTTTTCGGGGAGAAATCCGCTTACAGACTACCTACTACCCTGGCTCGACAGTGGGACTTGTGTGGGGGTCGCCCAGAGCCTGATGTTGGTGGCCCTGGGAATACCCACTAAAACTCCCCGGCTGCCCTTCCTGCCCGTATTTGGGGGCGATTTGGGACCTGCTATTGCAATTCACCAATTCACCCCGGGGCTGCCCAGCTACTGTGCCGGGCTACCGCGCCGATGGGGGATTACCCGGGAGAGCCGAGATAATCCCCAGACGTGTTGACCATGTGCAATGCCTGCATCAGTGCCACTTGACGCAGGCTGGTCGAACTTCCAGGTCGAAGGTAACAGGTTCACCCGTCTCCTCCGACCCGTACGTCTATGCCGGAGGGGAGCGGCTAGAGCAACCTCCTCCCGCTCCCTCTTCGCAGCTTCCTTCGCCGACATTACTGCTTCGGCGAAGCAAGCAGCAGCCTCCCAAGCCTCCTGGCTTCCAACCATAGCTTTCACCATGTTTGGAAGCGACAGGATCCTCCCGCTGAGCGCCGCAGTGAGTACAAGGCGCTCATTTATCCATGCCGGACACATTAGTAATGTGTGCTCGGCAGTAACGTCGGGATCGCCGCAGTGGTGACACTGCGGCGTCTCCTCTCTCTTTTTGCCACCCGGTGCAGATAGTGACCGAAACAACCGTGTCCAGTCAAGATCTGCACCAGACGGAAGGTTAGGCTGCCCCGCTGGCACCCCACCCACTCCACTAATACTGGACGAAAAGCCTCTATCGTCCAGTGACCAGCGGTGGGATTGGCAAGTGCCTCCTGCCACTGGTGTAGTGCCTCTCTCTGGGGCTCTACTCGGGCCTGCTCTATGTTTACAAGAGCAGGCGCTCCACCCCGCTGTTGTGCCTCAACTCTGCGTCGATACACCTCCGCAAGCACAAGTGCAAGAGGAGGCATGGCCGCCAGTACGCAGGCCGCCCCGTGGCTCACCGTGCGATATGCCCTCACAGCTCGGGACGCGATTATTCCTTGCGGCCTACACAAAAGGGCTCGCGTGCGGGGTTTGAGGCCATCAGCCCACACCGGTGCTCCGTATAGCGCCATCGACCGTATCACCCCGTGACACTTTGTATTCGGCCCTCCCACGTTGGGAAGGAGCCGACCTAAGCTGGCTGCGGCGGCGCACAGCCGGGGAGCTAGGAGCTCTAAATTTAACATGATATCCTAGTGATACTGAAAATTGAAGTCCTCATTCCATTTAAATGTATAATAAATGTGTTACGAATATCTGAAAAATTACTGTTCATTTCATTTTAGTTGATAATTGCAAGTAACATTTTTTTTATATAGAACAACTTCTTGTAGGCTATATTTCTTAAAATTTACTAGTATTGTTTTAATTTTGTATAATTGAAGTATTCAGTTATAATTTTTGATAAATAAATTATTACTGAAAATTTTGTACATACATACATTTTCATTTCGATTTAACGGTAATATTTTCTTTAAAATAGTTGTTTTCAAAGTTAATTTTACTATTCATTGAAAGAAGGTGTCATGTTTAAAATATTAAAGAAGAAATATTACATTTTTTTAAAGTCATATATTGAAAACGAGACATATTATATTTACAAGCTAATGTAATTAAATGTCGTAAAATAAATATTAAAAACAGAAAAAACAACAGCAAAATAGTATGACCAAATATGAATATTCAGTCTTCGACATATTTACTTAATCATTTATGAAATTTTGAAGTAATTGTATTAACAACTATACAAACTCAAAGAAAAATCTGGATTCAATTTGTTAAACTCAGAACACTTTCATAGTGTTATTTATTTAAAGATAAATATTGTATAGGTGACTAGATTGGCTTCTTGTGATGACTGTAAATAGAAATTGATTACAAAGACATAGTATTAATAATTATTTAGAATGATGTTTAATATATTTTGACTCTCTCTTCTACCTGGCAATTTCCCAGCTATAGCCAGGGTCTGCCTTACATGTTGTGAATAGTTTTTGGCTATTTGTTTTTACGACCGGCCGCCTGCCTGACATCAACCCACTTTTGGG